ATGGTAGTATGATCAAAATACGATAAACCAGCTCCGACGGTCCTAGATGGAACACATGTGAGAAAAAAAATCTTACAATCAACACGGAGCAAATTATTCAGCCAACCGAGCTTAGAATGTCAACCGAATAAGCAAATGGAAGACTCGAAGCAAAGGAGCAAGCAAAACAACGCTTTGATAAGAAAAGCTTTGGCTAAAATAATGTCGGTCTTAGCAGCTACTGCAACCGATCCTAGCAGCTATTGCGACCGACTGACAGACAATAGAGAATCTCAAGGCATTATCGATGTTTTATACTTCTAACTTCTATTTACCATAAATATCATAACAGTAACATATAAAAAATAACTTAAAAAAAAATTCCTACTCATGGTCACATACATAATTATTAGTTGTTCATCATCCATGAAGAAATAATTAAATCATAAAAAAGGTAATTGCATACATAGCACACAATTTTTATTTATTTATAACTATGCCTTACTTTTTAAATTAAGCAAACATTTTCAAGCATAGTGTTATCACACCAAAGTCTTATAAACATAAATATGAAAGTTTAAGTGTTAGATTTGTAAATAAATAAGAATTGTGTGGTCTGTATATAAATTTCCCTAAAAAAATGTTCTTCATAATTTTTATTCTCATTTCATTTTGTGTCTCAGTAATGTGAACAATTATTATGTTCGGACTACAGATGTAGAGATACGTTTGGAGTCCAATGAAATTAATCCACGTGAAGGAGACAGAAATATTAAAAAAAAAAATTTATTTTAGCACATGAGAATATTCCTCTGTGTTATTCCGCATTATTCATGTGTTATTGTGGTGTATTTATGTATTATTGTGTTCTTAGAATATTCTCAGTGTTATAATAATACAATAACACATCAATATCATCACAATAACACTGAATAACCCAGCAAGACGTGAGAGAAATATTCCATTGTGTCATCGGGCTGGATCACAAGAAAACAAGTTTTTTTTTTTTTTCCTGTCAGCTCCACATAAAAGTGATTCATTTGACTCCGAACGCATCTCTACGTTCAAAATACGATCGTAATAATTTTTCGAGCAATATAACCACTCTCCAAAACTCAAAATTACAACCGATAGCACAAAAGGGAGTTTTTTTTTAATAAAATGCTGACCGGCAAAAGGGTTTGAAATAAAATCATGCAAATGTGACAAATTAATTTCTTACACTTCTTAAGCTGCTGACACATATTTCTGTAAAAATTAAAAAAAAATAATTTGCACAAATTAATCTAGTAAGTTTTGATTGAGAGTTCTGACTTCTTATGAGATAATGAGATTTTTAATTTTTAATTTATTTTTTTATCCTCCGGTTTGCAATTAATAAATTAATTAATCTTATTGTGTAATTCAAGTATCATAATAAATTTTAAAATGTTTCATGAGGAAAGCGTCAATAATTAAATACTCAGTTAAATACAAAAAAA